ATCTAGTCCAACCCCCTCCATTTAAAGGAGACCCTTTAAACGGAGATTCCTGCGGGTGTCTTTCAGATCGTCGAGAGAGGGCTGGAGAAATCCCTTGTCTTAGAAGACGACATCCGATTCGAGGCTTATTTCAAGAGGCGCCTTTTGAAGCTGATGGATGAGTTGGAGCAGACGCAACTCGATTGGGAGCTGATGTATGTCTTCTTCTTCTTCTTCTTCTTCTTATTATTATTATTATTATTATTATTATTATTATTATTATTATTATATTAGAAGCAATGGATAGAAACTAATCAAGGAGAGAAGCAACTTAGAACAAAGGTGGAATTTGCTAATGGTGAGAGCAATTGACCAGGCTTGCCTTGAGAAGTTGTGAGTGCTTCAATCACTGGAGGTTTTTAAGAAGAAACTAGACAGCCACTTATCTGAAATGGCGTAGGTTCCTCCTGCTTGAGCAGGGGGCTGGACTAGAAGACCTCCAAGGTCCCTTCCAACTCTGTTATTCTCTCTTTTCAGCTACTTGAGCAGGAAACAAGTCAACGAGAAGGAGGAAGCCGTGACAGAAATCCCTAATCTGGTGGTGCCTGAATATTCCTACTGGACGTTGGCCTATGTCCTCTCGCGACGGGGGGCTCAGAAGCTGATCGAGGCACGCCCCCTCTCTAAAATCCTGCCTGTGGATGAATTCCTGCCCATTATGTACGACAAACACCCCAAGTAAGGGTTTGCCCCTCTCCTCACCCAAAATGGACGGAGCCCACCATTTTGGTTTGCACGATGTCAATTTCTAGTCTGCTTTTTTTTTTAAAAAAAAAACTTCTTAGAGATGGGAAGTTTGCATTTGTTAAAATTTAGACCTCTTTTTTTTTGGAGAAACCATTTCCTGAATCCAAAGTGCCCACTCCAGTCAAAAAGCAACTCCCAACATCTTATAGCAGCTCCTATTTTTCCCCTCTTGGTTTTCACACACTCTTCCCTGCGAAGGTCAGAAGTGGAACAGTCGGTCCAACTATTTATTTTTTAAAAAGTTATTTTAGCAAAAACCATGCCAGAAAATTACCTAAGCAAACCCTGAGCTAATGTTGCTGGTGGCACAGAGGTGGAATTAAGAGGGTGGGTGGGGGGGGGATGGATTTTTACGCACACACAGCCCGTTTGGGAACCGTGGCACTTGCAGTCATGAGTCATCTGGAGGACAGATGTAGAGCATTGCAAAATCGGACTGGCTGTCCTTAACCAGCAGCCTCATTTCTGAGCGCTGATGTCATTTGTGAATGCCTGGCTTGGGCTGTTTCTTTGGCTGGCTGAGTTTCTAGCCTGTTTCTAGGATAGGGATAGGAATAGAATAGAATAGAATAGAATAGAATAGAATAGAATAGAATAGAATAGAATAGAATAGAATAGAATAGAATAGAATAGAATAGAATAGAATAGAATAGAAAATATGGAATGGAATAAAATAGAACAGAAAATAGAATAGAGATTAGATTAGATTAGAACAGAACAGAACAGAATAGAACAGAAAACAGAACAGAACAGAAAATAGAATAGAATAGAAATGGAAATAGAAATAGAAATAGAAATAGAATAGAATAGAATAGAATAGGAAATTAGATTGGATTAGAACAGAACAGAAAAGAATATAAAATAGAATTAGAGTATATAGAACAGAATAGAATTAGAGGAGAATAGAACAGAATAGAACAGAAAATAGAATAGATAGAGATTAAATTGGATTAGAACAGAACAGAATAGAAAAGAATGGAAAATAGAATTAGAGTAGCCCTACATTTTGTATCTCTGTATATCTCCACCCCAAAATCTGAAATGGGTGGGGGGGGCATTCATCTGCGTCTCCGAATTTGCAAGAAGAGATCTTGTCAACCAAAGGGGCTCCCCACTGCTCGAACGAGTAACATTTGAGCAGGGAAAACTCTTGGAGTTTCCAGCTTGTAAGGCTCCCAGCCAAGCCATTTGGCTTTCCTTCCAGACTGTATGCAAAAGCAGTTTGTGTGTGTAGCACGAGCTAAAACAGAGCCTCTTGGCTTATATTCTGAGTTTTTTTTTTTTCCTCTTGGCTTATATTCAGAGCACCAAGCTTGGCTGTGCTTCCTAGCAGATCTTTGTCTGGTTTCTGTTTGGTTTCTGGGTTTGCTCAGCCCCGATCATGTCTTTCCCCAAAAAAGAAAAGCAGAACATGTGGAAGGGAGCAAGAGAAAGTTGCTAAAAATCTGGTTTGGCCTCAGAGCAAATGGATAAACTTTTGCGTAGTTTTTTTGTAGGCTCTCTTGGATGGTAAGTTTGATCTTTGCAGCTGGTTGGGGAGAAGACGACTTATGACAATTGACTAATGAGCTATGAATTGTAGAAGATTTTCGGAGCCCGCTGACATGATCAGCAGAACGAGCTGTTTTTTAGAATCACGACAGGATCAAATGCACGCCACGGGGGAAGGAAGGAAGCTTCTAATTTAGAAATATTTCTGTTTCTCTTGGACATGTAATTTTCCTGTCCCTGAGTGCAGAAGGGCAGGGAAAAACAGCTTCTTCTCCACAGTCAAAGTTGCAGGAAACATTTGACATGGGTGCTTTTTCAAGAGGCAGCTGGACTTTCTTTCCTTTTTTCCTAGAATGGAATGGAATGGAATGGAATGGAATGAAACAAGAGTAGAGTAGAGTAGGGTAGAATAGAATAGAATAGAATAGAAATAGAATAGAATAGAATAGAATAGAATAGAATAGAATAGAATAGAAGTTAGGGTAGGATAGATAGGAAGAGAAAGAAGAGAAGATAGAAAATGGAATGGAAGAACGGAATGGAATAGAGAATAGATTAGAGTAGAATTAAGAAAAGACTCTGCACATATTTTGAGGAATACATTATTGGTCTTTATGTCCAGAGGTCTTTTCAATTTCTTAATAGTTTTACAGTGAATGCTGTGCATAATTTCCCTTTCTTTCCTCTCTCCCGCAGTGAGGATTACAAAAAATATTTCAGCAGCCGAGATCTGCAGGCTTTTTCCATCCGTCCCTACCTGGCTTATCCTTCCCACTACGCCGGGGATGCCGAATGGATGAGCGATACGGAGTTTTCCACCATCTGGGATGATGATTCGCAGAAAACCACCTGGAGCGGCTCGCAGAAGACGCTGAAGGACCCCCGAGGCATGGGCCATGGAGGCCCCATCAGCCATTCCTTCCCCACAGCATCTCGAGATGAGCTGTAACGTCTGGCTGGTAAGGAAAGGAGGAAGGGAAGGGAAAGGAAAGGAAAGATTAAAAAGAAAGGAAGGAACGAAGGAGAAAGGAAAGGAAAAATGAAAGGAAAAGGAAAAGAAGGGAAGGGAAGAGGAAAGGAAAAAGGAAATGGTAAAGGAAAAAAGGATGGGAAGGAAAGAAAGAAAAGGAAGAAGCAGCAAAGGAAGGAAGGAGTAAAGAATGAAAAAAGAAAAGGAAGGGGAAATGAAAGGAAAATGGGAAAAGAGAGGGAGGGAGGAAGGAAGAAGGAAAGGAAGGAGAAAGGAAAAGGAGGAAAGGGAAAGGAAGGAAGGAAAGGGAAAGGAAAAGAAGAAAATAGGGAAGGGAAGGATAAAGAAAAGGAAAAAAAGAAGGGAAGAGAAGGAAAGGAAAGATGAAGAAGGAGAGGGGAGAAACCCTCTGGAAGCTGTCAGTGTCAGGTTTTCCAGGGAATATGTTGTGTTATTTTTCTTTTTTTATTTGTGAGGTTTCTACGCAGCCTTTTCTTCAGAGGCTGAGTGGAGGCTTTGGTGACATTTGCTCTGATCTGTGTTGTCGGTCCAAGGGATTTGGGTGACTCATTGGTGCTTTTCTCACTTCCAGGTTCGCCTTCCAGTTTACGTAGAGTGGGAGAGAAAAGACAGATTTGTGAATGGAAGCGCCCATTTCCCCATCCTCACCAGACATGCGGGGGGTGGGGTGGGGTTGTTGCTTCAACTGTTTGGATAAGAGAGGGAGGGCGGGTGAGCAAAGGCCAGAGGTGGCTTTGGGCTCGCCCGTCTGCTAGAGATTGGCGCCTTGCTGTGCAAGGACAATCCTGACCCAAATTTTTATTGATGCAATAAAGACTTTTGCACAGAAAAAAATGGGATAGCCTCCTGGATCCCTCCATTTCTCTGATGCCTTTCCTTCCTTCCTTCCTTCCTTCCTTCCTTCCTTCCTTCCTTCCTTCCTTCCTTCCTTCCTTCCTTCCTTCCTTCCTCAATCTCATTCCTTCCTTCCTCAATCTCATCTCCTTCCTTCCTTCCTTCTCTTCCCTCCCACCCTCCCTTTCCTCATTTTCCTTTCCTTTTTCATTCTTCCTTCCTTTTCACCAACCCTTCCTTCCTTCCGCTTTTTGCTTTCCTTTCCTTTCC